GATTAGAAATCATTATATGCTTCATCTTAATTAGTTTACAATACATTATTATTACTGACAAATCTAACTTGAACATTTGAAAGTTACTTCATAAAATGGGATTATGGGTTTAGCTTTTGAAATCAAACTATTATAATTTATTAAAATTTGTCTGTGATACAAAACCTTCGAATCACTGAAATATGGTCGAAAAAGATAGACCTAATTAACGTGCGAATTTTATTTATGTAGCATTTAGCACCTTTGAGTATTTTACATTTTTGCGGCTACTTTGAAATATAGTTGATATTAACTAGTAAACAAGAATTTTATCTGTAATCAGTACTTCTTAAAAATTGTTTTTCCTTATTTCATCATATGTTCATTACGCTAGTGATCAAAATTTTTATGATATACTAGACTAGACTGATCAAAAATAAACAACCGAAAAGTAGTGACTCACTCTCCAATTAAAGTCGATTATCTCATTAATATCAATATCCTCATCATCTTCTCCCATTGGATTCACAAGTGTTTCAGCAACCTGCGTAAGAAAGGTAAAACAATAGGTATTGGAATCGAAGCACAAACATTTTAACTTGGTTATTAGTTCAGAATAAAAGTTGATTACAATGTGATTCATTTAAACTACTGTTAACACTGATATTCGATGAGATTATAAGCGATGCATTCAACGTACAATATACATGCTGAATACAACCATTTAGGGAGTTTTTCAGTTTATTTATTGGATTAGTGCTGTATTCTATATGTCATTTTAAGCGGTGGAAGATGTCCTCGACTATCTGAGGTGAACTTGTAAACATAATACAAATCGCTGGCTAAACAACACAAATTTAATGAAAGTGAGGGTTTGTAATGAAATATTTAGTAAGAATTACGCTCTGGTAAACAGCACTTAATAAATGAACAGTAAAATGACAGAAAGTGCCTAGTACATCACACTTATCGAACAGTAAAAACGTTGTGGTTAACCACAGGCTTGAAATTTCAATTATGTTTAAGATTTGTTTAATTTTTTTATCGTAGACAAACTAATGATTGCCAGTTGGACTATAGTACCTATTTTATCCGTGGAAAAACAGCAAAAGGTAAATTACAGTAGATTTGACACTTTTTATTACTTTTAACTCACTTTTAGCCATCCCACATAAACAAAAAGTTCCAGAAATGTGAAAAACGGGAAGAAAAGATCATGCGAACGTGCTATGCCTGCAAAAGGTGAACTGTTGATGATGAATTGACTACTTATAAGAGACGCGACAAAATAAGAGTACACAGATAGTGTGACAACCTAAATAATTATGGGAAAAAAATAGATCCAATCAACAAATCCTATATGTCTTGTGTAATATACTTGTGTACGATATCTTGTTAATTCAGACAAACACAAACTTCATCCATGAACTTTAGAAAAGACCTCTTAGTTTATTACAGGTAAAGTTGGCAATAATTCCTCCACACGTGCAATTAACCGAAACTGATCGCCCCAGCTATTAATCAAAGAAATGAGGTTGTCTGACTAGACGAAGGATTCCAGAAAAATTAAAATAAACTGCAGAACGTCTGTTTCGCTGTGAATGTCACATGTGTTACAGGTCAGTTTTAACTTTCGTGACAGTCTTCAGTAAAATTTGATTTGTGGATGTAGTAAGTAGCTTAATGGTTGTATTAACAGAAAACTATATATAATAGAGACAAAAAATATGCTTCGTCCTGATTGTCTGCATAAGAAAGAACTCTCACAACATTATCCACAAATGGTTTTAGATATATAGGTATTGAATGACGTTATAAAATTCTTTGTTTTGATTAAGAACACTGTTTGTTAACAGTAATGACGCTCAATTACAGTTTAATCTTACGGATGATATAAGCGCAACTGAAAAATAAGTTATTGGTTAAACCTTCGTCGGTAAATATTTTGAAAGAATTATTTCTGAATAAACGTGGTTATCTAGTTTTCTTTGCATAAGGTCAACTGATGGTTGTGAATATAAATTTTCTAGGCCTGAAAAAGGTGATGGGTTCATTTCGTTTATAGCCTAGCGAGAAAATGTTTAATTCGCTAGAAGCAAACTAACATTTGTGCACAGAAAACAAGTACTTCGATTTTCAACTATAGTAGGAAACTTTATCGATCGACTGAACAGACAAAGGAATAAAATGACACTATTACTAACCTGTGTATAAACCAACGGAATACAAACATCATCCATCATCATTATATATAATATTTTTTGACGGAAAGTGTTAAGTTCCTGTAAGAAAGTGGAAAATTAGGAATTTCAGCTATAGACAATACGAGAAAATAAAATGGAAAGAAACTACAATCAAAAGTCTATGAAACAAATTTTTTACCAAATATAAGGAATATCGTTCAGCTATAGTAGTTCCGTCGTCTTATTACTGTTTAAAATTGATCGTAGACCTGATGTTAAAAGTCACCGGATCGTCAAGTGAGATATTCATTGTTTATTAAATCGTACACATCAAAAGATAAAGCATTTGAATTCAGTCACACAAAGAAGAATATAATTGCAAAAATCCGTAACGAAGTGAAAATGAAATTTTAATTTATTATCTCAACTGCATGATTGTATCTTTGTCACAACATTAAGCTTTTTGCATAAGCTTAAATCAATACTGCATTGTTAAGACACCTAGTTTCTCAATATGATGAATAATCGTTTGTTAAAAAACATCAAACTACACACATTACACTATGGCAAAAAAGCACAGTTCTAATGCCAGCAGTCATTTGACAAACTGTTTCAAAATATTTATTAGCGACAATAATCAATTGCATTTCTGACGTAGGCTAGCAAAACACATGCACTCACTATGACAATAATGCATTCAAGCACTCTAAAAACTTCTAAATTTTAATTACTTTTCCAATATGAAACTAATAACTAATTTATTGATTGATCAATAGCACATGAGTTTGAACGTTTCACTTCGGATTGAAGTTTTGTCAATAACTTGGTATCCCGCTTTACTGTTAATCACCAGTCGGCGTATATATTACATCCAGATGAATACATGCCATTAAGAAGTATTTCTGACATACACGATCTAAATAATGTAAGGTAAACAGTCAGCCACAAAGGTATATATTTGGTCTAATACTGAGGCTGCTTCAAGAATAGCTGAATTCAAAACTTAAGACTTCCTATGACAAAAAATCTGAGTATCTGAAATTTTTGTCATCTTATCACATGACTCAGAAGTACTTATGAGTTATTCTTTTCAAACATTTATGTTTGTCATTTTTAATAAAATCCTTTCAAGCTGTCAATTCTTAAATCATTAGGGTTGCTGAAAAACAACTTACGTCTACCAAAAGAACGTATGCATGCGGATTTTTGATTAGTCCTTCTTTTCTAGCTAAAGTGATAAGAGAAGTCGCCCATACAACAGGAACAAATGGTTGCATATGAACAGATTGTACACTTCTAATAATTCTTGCTTCATCCTCGGTAAGTACGCCTGTCAAAATGAAAAGGTGAAATATCTTATATAGTTGCAAACTGATATGGTGAATACATAATTTAATGATGCTTCTTTAGATAAAAACTAGTTTGAATTTCCGAGAAAAATCAATCAAAAAGTCAAGTGGAGAGTATACAAAACTCTCGGAAGCCTATATCTGATGGTATTTTCCTAAACTTAAAGCATTTCCAAGCAGTTTGTGTAATTCCATGAGGTTACTATTCGTCATACATCTTAAATTCAAAGACAGCCATTGCAGCAGAATACTATGAATTCATTTATTCTGCGGCTTATTTTCATATGCTTACAACCTTGAAACAACAGTATTTATGTTTAAACAGATTTTTGAAAATTCCCACGATCATTGTCCTTTGATAATCCACATCTACATCCCGAACCTAAAATTAATCAGGACTTTTTCGACACAGAATATTTATATTTGTTTCATTTCTATTCATTAGAAACTTAAGAATGGTACATAATAATCCCGTGTTAAACAGAGTGATACCACGCACAACCCACTATTAAGTTTCAGAACGCTGCCATTTAAATGAATTGTGATCTAGATATACTATTTTAAAACATTAAATATATTCTATTTGATTTATTAATTCATAATATTAAAATAGTATCAAAGGTAAACTTTGAGTATGACTACAAGCAAAATGTTTCATTGCTAGATCACCACTAGTTGATCGAATATACCTTCATTTAGCAATAATTTGATGAGCTTATTTCAGTCAGTCATTTTAGAACACGATGAATTCCAACGAAAATCTGATTTAATTTATAAAATCTGATAACGGTAGATTTTATTAAGTTTCCTGCCAAAATGTCAATAAAAGATAAGTTAAAAAATCTACTTACTAAAGTGAAGATAAGTAATTCTAGCCCAAATGTTACTTGTCGAATTAAAAACGCATATGTACTGCCTCATCCGTTCAGTTTAAGAAGTATATAACTGAATATCTTGAAACACGACCATTTTATGCTAGATGTCAACATTAATTTTGGTCATTGTATGAACTCTGCATGCGTACAAAACATTAAACGCAAATTTATGACCATGAAACTAATAACACACATCTCGTCGTAAACCACATAGTTGAAGAGTATTATGAAATACTGAAAAGATATGTGTACTGACGGATAAATGGAAATGGAAAGGAGACAAGCACTTTTATGACCAACATCCAAAATCCGACCAACGCTAATTTTATACAATAGGAAACTTTTAAAAACTAATAACCATACCTTGGGCTGAATTTCGGTAAACTACCTTTTAGATTTCTTTTAAATTAGTTACGCTTTACACACAAGTAAGCTAACGGATGAATATGAAGGGTTATATGACTATTTGATGTTCGTTTTTATCACGTACTGACATCAGGAAAATGTATTCCAAGAATAAACAACTCCTAGGTTCATTTACCAATTTCCATTCATCAGGCACGTTTACTTGTGAAGAGTAGCTTGACAAAAAGTTGTATTCCCTAGACGTTTTGTTAGCAGGAGCTACAAGAATTCGAGCTAAAAACCTTCATTTCTGCATTCAAAATAAATTTGTAACACCTCTACCTTTAAAATGAAGAGTATTCTTTTGAATAAATTTTCTTTAAGTTCTACAGATATACATCCAAATCGATAATCCAAAAAGTGGCCAGCATAGTACATCGTTTAAAATTATAACATACGAATTTAGGGTTGTGAAATAAAATAAAATTGTTCATGTTGATATGAATAATATGCAATGTTAATTTAAATAGGTTTATACTTTAGATGAAATGGTGCTAAGTAGATTGATCATGTGTTCAATAGATTAATAGTGATAGTAAACCAATAATAACAACAGTAATAGTAAGAAGAGAATTATATTATTATATTATACCGTTATATTGTATTATATTTCATCTCAATTTCAGCATTTCATCTTATCATGCTGAGCCTTCCTTTCTCAATTATAATTTCCCTATCTATGTTCTTGATAAATATTCAAGCCCTCGACAATAAAACTATTTTCAGTTTCATAAGCAAAGATGGATGGTGGCTAGCAGTGGAATCCAGGACGCGCGTTTCGTCCTGTTCGGAACTCACCAGCTGTATGTACCTGTAATATCGAGGCAGCCCGCACAGGATGCACATATGCCAACAAGAGACTGATCGATTGCAATTCTAAACAACAATGGGAAGATACAAGCAAACAATGCCAAGTGTATTTTCAGTTTCCCTGATAACAATAGCGTTTCAGTCCATTCTTTATTCTACCTCAGCTACCATGTTTAACAGAATTTTAATATCGCTACTATTGTAATTATTATAAACTTGAAAAATCAGTATTTACTTGTGATTATACAGCTATGAAAATAAATTCACTGAAATGAGAACTCTTAGCTGAACCAATCTTTCTTACAATTATATTTGACTAAGAAAGGTTGTCCTTTAAAAACAAAGGCGATAGCCATTCTGATTAAGAAGCCACAACTAAGTGTGCATAAAAGTATCTTTACCCGTTTTTCTTACTTTGGCGAACCTCATGGGCAATTAATCGATAGCAATCTGAACTATTAAGTGACCTGGTTTGACTAAAGTACATACAACCCTTCTTAGTCAAATATAATTATCTTTGTAATATAGATGATAATAATTTTAAATGTTTGGTTTTTAAACCTTTGACCAACTTTCTGTGTATTTTGTCCCTTTACCAGGTTGTTTATTTTTCTTAGATTTACTTCTGTATTCACCCTCTTACTACCAATTCTTACTTTATTCATTACGACTAATCATGTAGTCCATTTTTATTGCTATTCCTAAGTAATAAATTCTCTTGAATAATCTGACAGTTTTCATATATGCAAATAACTACCACCATTAAGTGTTTGTTTATGTGCTTTTCTTAAGTTAATTTTACTGAATAATGTATATTGAGTTTAAGCTCAAAAATCTGCCTAAACAAAGATATATTTGTGATATTCCAATGAGTAGAAATTCAGACTTCTGTTTTTTAACTGTATGTAAGCCACTTCTTCAGAGCAAACAAATAAGTAATTAACTAATTAAAAAAAGTTTAAATAGTATATAGGAACAAGGGAGAACATTTAGTTCAATCAAAAATAAAATACGATAGTCTTTCTAGTCATGATAAATGTGCCATTACATATCTGAGCCAGATGTATGACCTGATGGTACTGACAAAAATCAGTGACTCAATATGAAACATGAGTAAATTAGCAAACATTGGAGACGTTAGAAATCTCATGGCCACTTCATTTCTTTATTTGCATAACGTCTCTTCAGAGGTAGAAAGCGTTGAATCTAAGCATGGTTTGAGGGACTTCATGATTAATCTTGTGCATAACGAGATCTGATGCATAGAGTATTGTCATTCTCTGGTAAGCCATCCATAAACTCTAAGTCTCTATCGATTAGAATACTAGTTTATATATATATATATATATATATATATATATATATATATATATATATATATATATATATATATATAACATCATAGCCTGGCATTGTTTCGATCTCTTTGACAGATAATTTCGAGATCTTTTATTTGGAAGGCCACCTCTAATTTCTTTCGACAAGTTAAAAAGATTATTAATAAATTATTTTCCCGTGACATTGCATAAAGTACGTGAAAAGGAGCAGTTCAACAAATTATTTCGTGCTCCGAATCAAAATACCAGAAATTTTATACTACAGCTTTAGATGTAGTGGACATCTGAATATTCATCTTAGAGACCAGTTGACTCCCAGTTTAACTGATTGTAAGCTGAAGCGACGGCTTACACCCTCGGATAGTTGAAGATCCATGACTCACATATTCAAACGTTAGTATTTATAATAACGATGCTGTTGCGACACAGTATGATGTACCATTATTGAATGTGAATAAACACACTATACTAATAAACTCCAGATTTCCTCGGACAGAATCCGCTCTAATTTATTCAGCTAAATTAATAATTCTAAAATTACTTCAAATTCGCATATGGGTATCGAAATCTACATTTCATGTGATAAATTGTATCTTCGTACTTCGTGAAAGCTTCATCATGCATATCGCCATGAATGTGGAAGAGTAGGACATATTGGGGAAAATTTTAAAATCTCCAAGTCGCTTCTAAAATAGTGGGTAATCATTTAGTGGAATCAGCTGATCTGAACATAGAAATAGACTTTTTATCACTTACTACCAACTGTGTCAGTACCTTACACATGACCAGTACAGGCAAATCCCAATCATTTAACGTCGATAATGATAACATAGAGTCAATCATCAATTTAAGTAATGAGATTGAAGATATACTATAATAATTACGAAGGTCAAAGTGTCTTCATAAGATAGACCTAAAATATGTATATTTACAAACTTCACTGGATGGAATTGTAGTGTGCTGCCGATGCCGACAGATATAAGTAGTATGTATCATCAATCAAAAGTGAAATGTCTGGCAGCACAAATTAAGATCAAAGAAAGAGAACGAGAACAAAGAATGATTGATGTGGAATCGAAAGAACTGTGAAGCCTGAGACAATTTATTGATATTTTGCAAATTAATTATTTACTATATGGTTCTCAGATTTTAATAAAATGTTCTGTAATTTTGTGTTCAAATACATTCGATTGTCTCCACTTGTGTTCTCGTTCACCACAAAACCTCTAGCGAACTGACTTGTTATTTCACAAATTAGGCTATACTGAAACAAATTCCTGCCGTTCGGATTAAGCGATTCCCGTGCGATATTCCAGGAGGTTGTAACTAAAAATATTACCGATCTTGATGGTGTTCAATCGTATCAAGATGATTTCCTAATTTATGCTGCAAATATTGAGTTGCGTAATGAACATACTTTAAAGTTAGACGGACGCTTTTATGATACAAATATTCTGACAAACTTATCCAAGTCCCATTTCAACTTAATTCTATCAACTCCCCAGGTTATATTAAATTTCAAGGAGTTTCAATCTGATATGAGTTGGAATACGTTTTAGAAAATAAGAGAAGATACATCACTACATACTGGAGTTCATTTTGTCCTTTGATGACAGAATAATTATCTTCATTGCTTAAATTTATAGTGCTAGATGGTCTTCACTATGGTCATCTGAGAGTGAAACAATTGGAATAACATGATGCCTTGTGATTTATGCTGATGTAAGTCGAATACCGAAAAATTATCCTGCTTGTTTGCACAGGGTTTCATATGATGAAATTACTTGAAATCCTTGGCCAGCCCCTTACGGATTGTGTCAACGTATTAACGCCGATTACTGAATTCCATTGTATACTAGTATTATGCTTTATTTGCTACAGATTCATAACTCAGACGGTTAGGAGTGGTACTCAATAATAGTCCATGAAGGAAATTTGCTGAGTGATTAGAGAGAAAGGTATTTTGTGGCTATAGGGTTCTCAATATAATAAATGAACCCATTTCCCACATAAACATTTAACGCACAGCCTAACGATATTGGATACTGTCGTTTATTTACAAATCTACGCCATCCCTAGCTTAAAGGTTCAACAGTGAACATTTTTTAAACCTTGATAAATGCTATCATATCAGTAAATTGAAGTTGTTCGAAAATAAAAAACCATCAGCAGCGTTTCACTACAATATAATAACGTAGAGCATTTACAAGCTCGCTAAGACCCAGGTAAAGTTTTCAAAACTTATATACTTCGAACTCGTTCACTGGGCACAACATAAATAAAAGTACATTTTTACCGAGGAAATAAGCATTGACCAACTTCAGGAATTCTAATTCAGAAATCAGTAGCCGGATGATAACAAATCATTACACTCAGTGACTTGAAAGTGGTTAAAGATAAATCCGTACGGTTAGACGTTCTGATGACTTGGTTGTATTAGTATGCAATAGTAGCAGAAGTATGGTTTGGAAGTTATCATGTAGCTTAAAAGCTATATTCTTTTGCAGTTAAGAATCATTAATTGGTACTTCGCTGTAATATGTTCCATTACCCGCCTAATACTAAGCCCTCCAAAATTAATATACGGTTGTCTGATTTCAGGATTTGTCTGTCATCTGTAGTATGTGAATACAAGACGAAAATATGTCCCTTAATTACTTCAGTCATATTTTGTCATCTTCTTAAATGCAAACTTAGTGGTTTTTATCCTTCAAGTAAAGTTTAGTATACTGACCGAAAAGTGCAATCAAACCAGTGTCTGGACATCCAACTTCTGTACACTGTCACGAAACCAAAACTACCTCAGAAGCATTCAGTCTTAGATAAAAATAAAAACTAGCAACATTGAAAGCTAATATGTTGGTCAACATTAGTTGACTACAGCCTTTATCACAACATACAGCAAACAAAATAAGTTACCTGAAGCAACGAAAAGCTCAAAAGTTGGAAAACGTTTCTTGACGACGACATTAAGATGGGCAGCTGCAATTATAAGATTTGCCATTATATATCTCATGCATGTCCGACGTATCAGACGATTGCGTTCTGCGCTACCAGGAAGGTGGGTGACAAGAGTAAGTGCGAAACTCATCACCCACGGAATCGTCGTGAAATAGTTCCAAAAGCGTGCGAAAACTAAGGCAACATAAAAACCAAGGATAAATGCAACCGGAATCATAGCTTGGAACCTAGAAGTAAATAGGATCAGACGTTCAAAATTTCTAAGATGTCAGTTATCTATCAATATAAATTGCTCACCTTTGTGCGTTCTCAGAAATTGCAAACCGATACAAACAGCTTATTAATGTATAAATAGAAGCAAATATGATGAGGTCAAGTGAAATCAGCTTCAATACACCTCCTCTCCATCTGAAGATGTTAATTACGGAAAGTTTAGTACTTTAAGAGAAGACGGAAGAATATTCCAGGACCCCCAGTAAGGACAAACTGATTATATTGGACAGTCATCAATGATATTTCCTGCAGGTTTTCGTCAAATACCACTGTTGATTTAATACAATGAGAAATCGACAATAAAAACGTAATTGGTTACGACGACTGACATATAAGGTTAACTGAACTACGGTTCTTGTGAACAGCTTAGATAACAAACAAAGAAAATTTCATCAACAAATGGTTAGAAAAATCAGAATTCCATCTACATTATTATTTAAACGACAAAAAATTAGCTGACGTACCCAGATGGCATGCGTTTTCAACAACAATACGAAACTCGAGGCAAAAATGACTATGCGTGCAATCTATCACATCAAACGAAGGAAACCGAAAACAAATCGTCTAAAGCAAAACGTAACGAAAAATCGCTGGAGAAAACGAAACCAAAATGAACAGTAAAAACAAAAAACGAAAACAGAATCACATCCGAGCACAAATCACTCAGCCTAAACAAAACTCGCCAAAAAAACGTACAGAAAACTGTACATCTAATACAACACCAAAGAAAATGACTAGATGTGGTCTGACACTTCACTGACCAACACCTCTAGATAAGTGATTGTCACTTGATGTCTCCTCCATGCAACATGTCTTGGAAGACGATTCAGACTGATTCTCGAATCACTCATCCAGTATATCGCTCCTAATTTATTATCTAATTATTTTCGTGCTTACACATATTCTTTCCATTCTACTTGATAATTTAATTTAATAACAACAGCTCCTCCAACCATTTGTCTTTCCTTTCCGATCTGTTCACACCAGTGAATTATCGTAATTAATTTTCCGATGACAATTCTGATGCAAACAACAGATAAGAGAAGTTAATCTCCGAATTCTCACGGTTTATTAAAACACACTGTATTGAGCGAACACTGACACCACTTCCAAACGTACATTTCAGTGTTCTGGTGAATCGATCCTGTGGTAGGCGGCAAATAATCATATCCTAGTCAAACTTGTATCACAAACTCATCGTAAAGGGTTCTGTGTGCACAAGTTGGATTATTTATGTGAGAACAGTGTCCTCGCACCTGACATACGAATAACACCTGAGACAATATTACCTTTAATCAATCACTCAGACTTGTGAATTCGGTTAACTATATTTCAGTAACTATCGGTTCCTCACAGTCATACGTGTGTATACTGGTAATCAACCGGTGCTTGCACTATGCATACATACACTTGTTGTCTAATCGATTATCACCTATCTGTAAATTAGTGGGGGGAGGAGATTTGGCACGTCACCGGATGCGACTTATTCTCACTTCGTTCTACTTAAAGCATTTCGCTTTTCTTCAATCACAACAAGTTCTCATCAAGCAACATCTCAGATGCTCCTCAACAAGATTGTTCATTTGATAGACGTCCTGTGAATGAATAAACACTGAATTGGTGTAATCAACTGGTCAAATTATACTACATCATGTAATCTACTTGGTGACGCATTTCACAAACTTGGTCAATAAAATCAACACTACAGTTCTGAGGAGAACACTTGTTCACAACGTGAGAATAATCCAATCAAGTCAGTTCATTTGATCACCTACTAGCCATAATCCTGTCTAAATCTTGAATTGTGAACCTATTTATTCTACTATTTGTCTTAACTCCAATACACTTTCTCCTGGTTTTGTGCTATTAAATATATAGTCACATCGATTATCCCTTGTTATAATTTGGTAAAATGTGATCAGTCGAACCGAAGCACTACACACTTTGCAACTTTCTCATCCAACTGTCATTAGCATGAATAAGGAGGTTGGTTGGATCGAGGAAACTTGGATGTCTACAAATATAAGTGAGAATACTACCAACCGATTGGTACAACGGAGAGAATGAGAAATATAATCGCTTTCCACCTTGCAATTCCACACACTACATCGTCACTTAGCAGTAATCAGCTAGCCACAATCGACAGACCGAATTAGTCAGATGCTGTCAATATCCACAGGAAACCTGTCTCCATCAACCACAGCTCGGAACCAACCATAGAATATATTGAGAATAGTGTCAATCCACTACAACACCAGACAGAGTGACTAGATGTGGTCTGACACTTCACTGACCAACACCTCTAGATAAGTGATTGTCACTTGATGTCTCCTCCATGCAACATGTCTTGGAAGACGATTCAGACTGATTCTCGAATCACTCATCCAGTATATCGCTCCTAATTTATTATCTAATTATTTTCGTGCTTACACATATTCTTTCCATTCTACTTGATAATTTAATTTAATAACAACAGCTCCTCCAACCATTTGTCTTTCCTTTCCGATCTGTTCACACCAGTGAATTATCGTAATTAATTTTCCGATGACAATTCTGATGCAAACAACAGATAAGAGAAGTTAATCTCCGAATTCTCACGGTTTATTAAAACACACTGTATTGAGCGAACACTGACACCACTTCCAAACGTACATTTCAGTGTTCTGGTGAATCGATCCTGTGGTAGGCGGCAAATAATCATATCCTAGTCAAACTTGTATCACAAACTCATCGTAAAGGGTTCTGTGTGCACAAGTTGGATTATTTATGTGAGAACAGTGTCCTCGCACCTGACATACGAATAACACCTGAGACAATATTACCTTTAATCAATCACTCAGACTTGTGAATTCGGTTAACTATATTTCAGTAACTATCGGTTCCTCACAGTCATACGTGTGTATACTGGTAATCAACCGGTGCTTGCACTATGCATACATACACTTGTTGTCTAATCGATTATCACCTATCTGTAAATTAGTGGGGGGAGGAGATTTGGCACGTCACCGGATGCGACTTATTCTCACTTCGTTCTACTTAAAGCATTTCGCTTTTCTTCAATCACAACAAGTTCTCATCAAGCAACATCTCAGATGCTCCTCAACAAGATTGTTCATTTGATAGACGTCCTGTGAATGAATAAACACTGAATTGGTGTAATCAACTGGTCAAATTATACTACATCATGTAATCTACTTGGTGACGCATTTCACAAACTTGGTCAATAAAATCAACACTACAGTTCTGAGGAGAACACTTGTTCACAACGTGAGAATAATCCAATCAAGTCAGTTCATTTGATCACCTACTAGCCATAATCCTGTCTAAATCTTGAATTGTGAACCTATTTATTCTACTATTTGTCTTAACTCCAATACACTTTCTCCTGGTTTTGTGCTATTAAATATATAGTCACATCGATTATCCCTTGTTATAATTTGGTAAAATGTGATCAGTCGAACCGAAGCACTACACACTTTGCAACTTTCTCATCCAACTGTCATTAGCATGAATAAGGAGGTTGGTTGGATCGAGGAAACTTGGATGTCTACAAATATAAGTGAGAATACTACCAACCGATTGGTACAACGGAGAGAATGAGAAATATAATCGCTTTCCACCTTGCAATTCCACACACTACATCGTCACTTAGCAGTAATCAGCTAGCCACAATCGACAGACCGAATTAGTCAGATGCTGTCAATATCCACAGGAAACCTGTCTCCATCAACCACAGCTCGGAACCAACCATAGAATATATTGAGAATAGTGTCAATCCACTACAACACCAGACAGAGTGACTAGATGTGGTCTGACACTTCACTGACCAACACCTCTAGATAAGTGATTGTCACTTGATGTCTCCTCCATGCAACATGTCTTGGAAGACGATTCAGACTGATTCTCGAATCACTCATCCAGTATATCGCTCCTAATTTATTATCTAATTATTTTCGTGCTTACACATATTCTTTCCATTCTACTTGATAATTTAATTTAATAACAACAGCTCCTCCAACCATTTGTCTTTCCTTTCCGATCTGTTCACACCAGTGAATTATCGTAATTAATTTTCCGATGACAATTCTGATGCAAACAACAGATAAGAGAAGTTAATCTCCGAATTCTCACGGTTTATTAAAACACACTGTATTGAGCGAACACTGACACCACTTCCAAACGTACATTTCAGTGTTCTGGTGAATCGATCCTGTGGTAGGCGGCAAATAATCATATCCTAGTCAAACTTGTATCACAAACTCATCGTAAAGGGTTCTGTGTGCACAAGTTGGATTATTTATGTGAGAACAGTGTCCTCGCACCTGACATACGAATAACACCTGAGACAATATTACCTTTAATCAATCACTCAGACTTGTGAATTCGGTTAACTATATTTCAGTAACTATCGGTTCCTCACAGTCATACGTGTGTATACTGGTAATCAACCGGTGCTTGCACTATGCATACATACACTTGTTGTCTAATCGATTATCACCTATCTGTAAATTAGTGGGGGGAGGAGATTTGGCACGTCACCGGATGCGACTTATTCTCACTTCGTTCTACTTAAAGCATTTCGCTTTTCTTCAATCACAACAAGTTCTCATCAAGCAACATCTCAGATGCTCCTCAACAAGATTGTTCATTTGATAGACGTCCTGTGAATGAATAAACACTGAATTGGTGTAATCAACTGGTCAAATTATACTACATCATGTAATCTACTTGGTGACGCATTTCACAAACTTGGTCAATAAAATCAACACTACAGTTCTGAGGAGAACACTTGTTCACAACGTGAGAATAATCCAATCAAGTCAGTTCATTTGATCACCTACTAGCCATAATCCTGTCTAAATCTTGAATTGTGAACCTATTTATTCTACTATTTGTCTTAACTCCAATACACTTTCTCCTGGTTTTGTGCTATTAAATATATAGTCACATCGATTATCCCTTGTTATAATTTGGTAAAATGTGATCAGTCGAACCGAAGCACTACACACTTTGCAACTTTCTCATCCAACTGTCATTAGCATGAATAAGGAGGTTGGTTGGATCGAGGAAACTTGGATGTCTACAAATATAAGTGAGAATACTACCAACCGATTGGTACAACGGAGAGAATGAGAAATATAATCGCTTTCCACCTTGCAATTCCACACACTACATCGTCACTTAGCAGTAATCAGCTAGCCACAATCGACAGACCGAATTAGTCAGATGCTGTCAATATCCACAGGAAACCTGTCTCCATCAACCACAGCTCGGAACCAACCATAGAATATATTGAGAATAGTGTCAATCCACTACAACACCAGACAGAGTGACTAGATGTGGTCTGACACTTCACTGACCAACACCTCTAGATAAGTGATTGTCACTTGATGTCTCCTCCATGCAACATGTCTTGGAAGACGATTCAGACTGATTCTCGAATCACTCATCCAGTATATCGCTCCTAATTTATTATCTAATTATTTTCGTGCTTACACATATTCTTTCCATTCTACTTGATAATTTAATTTAATAACAACAGCTCCTCCAACCATTTGTCTTTCCTTTCCGATCTGTTCACACCAGTGAATTATCGTAATTAATTTTCCGATGACAATTCTGATGCAAACAACAGATAAGAGAAGTTAATCTCCGAATTCTCACGGTTTATTAAAACACACTGTATTGAGCGAACACTGACACCACTTCCAAACGTACATTTCAGTGTTCTGGTGAATCGATCCTGTGGTAGGCGGCAAATAATCATATCCTAGTCAAACTTGTATCACAAACTCATCGTAAAGGGTTCTGTGTGCACAAGTTGGATTATTTATGTGAGAACAGTGTCCTCGCACCTGACATACGAATAACACCTGAGACAATATTACCTTTAATCAATCACTCAGACTTGTGAATTCGGTTAACTATATTTCAGTAACTATCGGTTCCTCACAGTCATACGTGTGTATACTGGTAATCAACCGGTGCTTGCACTATGCATACATACACTTGTTGTCTAATCGATTATCACCTATCTGTAAATTAGTGGGGGGAGGAGATTTGGCACGTCACCGGATGCGACTTATTCTCACTTCGTTCTACTTAAAGCATTTCGCTTTTCTTCAATCACAACAAGTTCTCATCAAGCAACATCTCAGATGCTCCTCAACAAGATTGTTCATTTGATAGACGTCCTGTGAATGAATAAACACTGAATTGGTGTAATCAACTGGTCAAATTATACTACATCATGTAATCTACTTGGTGACGCATTTCACAAACTTGGTCAATAAAATCAACACTACAGTTCTGAGGAGAACACTTGTTCACAACGTGAGAATAATCCAATCAAGTCAGTTCATTTGATCACCTACTAGCCATAATCCTGTCTAAATCTTGAATTGTGAACCTATTTATTCTACTATTTGTCTTAACTCCAATACACTTTCTCCTGGTTTTGTGCTATTAAATATATAGTCACATCGATTATCCCTTGTTATAATTTGGTAAAATGTGATCAGTCGAACCGAAGCACTACACACTTTGCAACTTTCTCATCCAACTGTCATTAGCATGAATAAGGAGGTTGGTTGGATCGAGGAAACTTGGATGTCTACAAATATAAGTGAGAATACTACCAACCGATTGGTACAACGGAGAGAATGAGAAATATAATCGCTTTCCACCTTGCAATTCCACACACTACATCGTCACTTAGCAGTAATCAGCTAGCCACAATCGACAGACCGAATTAGTCAGATGCTGTCAATATCCACAGGAAACCTGTCTCCATCAACCACAGCTCGGAACCAACCATAGAATATATTGAGAATAGTGTCAATCCACTACAACACCAGACAGAGTGACTAGATGTGGTCTGACACTTCACTGACCAACACCTCTAGATAAGTGATTGTCACTTGATGTCTCCTCCATGCAACATGTCTTGGAAGACGATTCAGACTGATTCTCGAATCACTCATCCAGTATATCGCTCCTAATTTATTATCTAATTATTTTCGTGCTTACACATATTCTTTCCATTCTACTTGATAATTTAATTTAATAACAACAGCTCCTCCAACCATTTGTCTTTCCTTTCCGATCTGTTCACACCAGTGAATTATCGTAATTAATTTTCCGATGACAATTCTGATGCAAACAACAGATAAGAGAAGTTAATCTCCGAATTCTCACGGTTTATTAAAACACACTGTATTGAGCGAACACTGACACCACTTCCAAACGTACATTTCAGTGTTCTGGTGAATCGATCCTGTGGTAGGCGGCAAATAATCATATCCTAGTCAAACTTGTATCACAAACTCATCGTAAAGGGTTCTGTGTGCACAAGTTGGATTATTTATGTGAGAACAGTGTCCTCGCACCTGACATACGAATAACACCTGAGACAATATTACCTTTAATCAATCACTCAGACTTGTGAATTCGGTTAACTATATTTCAGTAACTATCGGTTCCTCACAGTCATACGTGTGTATACTGGTAATCAACCGGTGCTTGCACTATGCATACATACACTTGTTGTCTAATCGATTATCACCTATCTGTAAATTAGTGGGGGGAGGAGATTTGGCACGTCACCGGATGCGACTTATTCTCACTTCGTTCTACTTAAAGCATTTCGCTTTTCTTCAATCACAACAAGTTCTCATCAAGCAACATCTCAGATGCTCCTCAACAAGATTGTTCATTTGATAGACGTCCTGTGAATGAATAAACACTGAATTGGTGTAATCAACTGGTCAAATTATACTACATCATGTAATCTACTTGGTGACGCATTTCACAAACTTGGTCAATAAAATCAACACTACAGTTCTGAGGAGAACACTTGTTCACAACGTGAGAATAATCCAATCAAGTCAGTTCATTTGATCACCTACTAGCCATAATCCTGTCTAAATCTTGAATTGTGAACCTATTTATTCTACTATTTGTCTTAACTCCAATACACTTTCTCCTGGTTTTGTGCTATTAAATATATAGTCACATCGATTATCCCTTGTTATAATTTGGTAAAATGTGATCAGTCGAACCGAAGCACTACACACTTTGCAACTTTCTCATCCAACTGTCATTAGCATGAATAAGGAGGTTGGTTGGATCGAGGAAACTTGGATGTCTACAAATATAAGTGAGAATACTACCAACCGATTGGTACAACGGAGAGAATGAGAAATATAATCGCTTTCCACCTTGCAATTCCACACACTACATCGTCACTTAGCAGTAATCAGCTAGCCACAATCGACAGACCGAATTAGTCAGATGCTGTCAATATCCACAGGAAACCTGTCTCCATCAACCACAGCTCGGAACCAACCATAGAATATATTGAGAATAGTGTCAATCCACTACAACACCAGACAGAGTGACTAGATGTGGTCTAACACTTCACTGACCAACACCTCTAGATAAGTGATTGTCACTTGATGTCTCCTCCATGCAACATGTCTTGGAAGACGATTCAGACTGATTCTCGAATCACTCATCCAGTATATCGCTCCTAATTTATTATCTAATTATTTTCGTGCTTACACATATTCTTTCCATTCTACTTGATAATTTAATTTAATAACAACAGCTCCTCCAACCATTTGTCTTTCCTTTCCGATCTGTTCACACCAGTGAATTATCGTAATTAATTTTCCGATGACAATTCTGATGCAAACAACAGATAAGAGAAGTTAATCTCCGAATTCTCACGGTTTATTAAAACACACTGTATTGAGCGAACACTGACACCACTTCCAAACGTACATTTCAGTGTTCTGGTGAATCGATCCTGTGGTAGGCGGCAAATAATCATATCGTAGTCAAACTTTTGTCAGAAACTTTCCGTTTATCATTACCTTGGTTTTAAACATTTTATGATACATTCAGGAGGTGGTGATTATTTTGTAAACCTTGGTTTTTAGTGGTTATACTTTTTTTGTATCAGTGGGACGGAATTATTCTGGAGTAAGATTATGGGCATTTCCCATTTGAACGGAACAGTTTGACGTTTTCCACATAACAAATACATGATTTTATAATAGTTTGTAATGATATTAATGTCTTTACAAATAGTCAGCATTAGTAGGTCTATATTTACAAAGAAGGGATAGGATGTTATGCTCGGTTTCATTGTCAATTGACCATGTTCTGGTTATCTCATCGGCGTAAGCGGCGTACTGCATGAGCTTTTTTACGGATTTCTTTGTTTTCTTGAGCGCTAATTTACGAAGGATAAGAATTCAAATTAATAAGCTTTAAAATTTTTGAATGACATAATCAAGTGTAAATTAAATAATATATCACTGCATTAAATTTGTAACATTATATCTGGTTCAAATGTGCTAGCATCAACTCGGTTTGCTTCGGTTTATAAGCGGAACGAAAATGATTTTTTACTTGTAGTGATTATGAAAGTGACATGTGGTGACAAGATACGTCGTGGAATGAATCAATGGGTTTAAAAGTATAGCATAAATTTAAATATAAGCATCAGTGGATATATATCAAATAGATGAACGCTGATTCGAAGACACGTTGAACAAATTAACATTTATTAAACGCAAAAATTGTGACGATTTTAACGCTGATGCAGGATGATGAAACTCAAGCGTGCTACCTTATTCTGAGTCAATATTCCTTAGATTTTGAGCCCATGAGCTGATAAGCCTTTCAAGATAAACGATGTTTTGAATGAAATCACTCACTTCACTTTTACAACATTATGCATTGAATTGCATAGCTGAAAACAACGCTCACTGATGGTATTTTTAACTAAAGTGCTTATGGTTTGTATATGTAGGTTCTTAGGACAGTTGGACATTTCAGTTTCGAATCCTTGTGAACCAGTCGTCAGTTGATGAGTTTTTGATCTTCCGGAGTTATATATATATATATATATATATATATATATATATATATAGTTCGTTCGAAATCTGAATTCACCAAAACATTATTCATGCGTTAAAAAATTTGCACTAAGAAGCGATACCACATTTGTGATCAAATACTAGTAGCTGACGAGTATCTTCTACTCTTAATGGCCACATTTCGAGGCCGTAAAGTAGAGCAGAACCAACTGCTGTGCAGTATACTCGTCCGTTAATTGATAGACGGATATCTCGTCTTTGTCATAAGTGACGTAAATTAGCTAAAGCCAAACGAGTATGCTGGATGCGTACAGAGATTTCGTTATACAACAACAGATTAGAGTTGATCAGACTTTCAAAATAAGTAAAGTTGTCGACGCGTTCACTCGCTATCAGATGGGATTACGTGCGGTTTCAAGATTTTAGCTAAAATAATAATCAATATGACCGCTAAAACTGGACCTCTGGAGTCATGTGAACCAGTTGCTATCTCTCGTTTAAAGTCGGCTCTAGCTTTATTTACCTCCAATTACAGTCAGGGGGTCATTCGGACTGTTTAGAAATTTTGGGTAGCTGTAGAGTAACTGAAATGCTCCTTAAAGTGTTCCACCGCTCATTCTAAACGTCTAGACTGAGAGCAAATAAGTGTCGTCTTTTTCAGAGATTGTCTCACTTGCACATGACTACGTAATCCCAGTTTATTAGTCTGAAAAGCCGTCTGGTGTTGCCTACAGACACTGCCTTTTCTATATCTTAGTTCTGTTGCTCACCACTGCTTACGACGACCCGTAGGCTTCCGTTTAACTTAGATCTGATTCGTTTTGTTCATCGTGCTCAGAGCTGAATGGGACAAGTTTACGAAAGTCCAACACATGTCACAAAAATCCACTGGGTTTTCGTAAACCTTTGGTTCAAATCGCTAATGGATGTTGCTGCTGTTTCGACAGCTGTTTGTATACTTTTCCAAGCAACATCCGGATCAGTCTCCTTTTCGAAATTGCCAAAGTGTGACTTCAGTTGTTTCTGGAATATGTATTTGGCTTTCTCTAATGGATCTTCTTAGTGTGGCTTTTCCGCGTCCAGTGGGGTGCAAGCAAATGCGTACTCGTATTATAGCATGATCAGAGTCTAAACATGTACTCCAGAACGAGCGGTAGTCTTCTATCGAGCCTTTCCTGCGATAACTGATGGCTATATGGTGTATCTGAGTCCATCGTTGGTTTGGTGTAGGGGGTCGCCATGTTAGACGATGTCTCTCCTTATGCTTAAAATTTGTTTGCTAGAAATAAACGATTGTCTGAGCATAGTTGCAGCAGACGATCACCATTATCTGTTCGCTGTGTCGGAATACTAAAATACCCACCTAAATGCCTTTCTGTTTGGTTTAAACTACCTATCTGAGTATTAAAGTCATCCCCAACGAGTACTATGTCTGAGCGTTTAGCTTTCTGAAGAAGTTCGGACAGCTTTCTGTAAAATTCATCTTTCACTTCATCTGAGCTTCAGTCGGTGGGAGCGTAGGCAGAAACGACGAAAAGGCAACGACGTGTGTCCCTATTCTTCCGAGTTCTTACGGAGCCGTTTAGCCGAACAGCACATAGACGACTGTTGACGGGGATCCACTCTAGCAGTGCTTGTTCGGCCCTCATGCTTAGTGCTATGCCTATACCTGCCAGTCCACGAGAACTGGCCATCGGGTCGCCAGATACACTGAGGGTGTATCTCGTCGGCTCTCCGTTTTGCCGAGGTGAGGTCAAGTGAATGACCACACTGGAATCCTGTATGCGTGTTTCGGAGACACAGCATACATCAATGGTAAGAGATTCTAGGGTTTTAGCCAAGGAAGCCTGCTGACCGATTTGACATAGGGTGCTTACGCTGAAGTCTCCAATGTGTAGTTTGGAGGGAGGTTTCAGTAGACCTGGGACAGTGTTTTGAGCACTAGAATCGTTGGATATGGTGACATTTGAGGAGGAAGTAAAAGAGGTAGATTAGAGTTGAAAGTCGATGTAGGAGGAATAATGAGAGTTGAAGATGGAGGTTGATTATGAATACAGTGGTCTGTTAGAGGTATGAGGGCGGTTATCACTTCCCGGTTGCCCACACTGTGGAAGGGTTCTTCTGGAGGCACCCGAAAAGGAAATTGGATTAGATGTGTTCTAATTGACAATACGAAGTAGCGACTATATGCACATTATTCACTGTTACTGATGTATATATTTAGGTCGCACAAAATATTGATACCGAGGTAAGTAAATTATTCAGAACACAATATTCCTTACTTGAGTTACCTGGTAAATTTTTAACTTACCCTTCGTTTGAATTTATGAAATTTGAAGGTTGAGACGAAGTTGTGAAAGAAATTGTGTCGCCACTCATTCTAAAAGCTGGATCGAAACTAAATACACCTGTTTCCCGGTGATTGGGGAAAGTCAAAGAAGTACGCGTATATACGTTTACTGCTGCCGAACTGCTTGGATTGGATGTGCATAATAATGCATTATTTTTCTGAACACTTGAATTTATAGGGTTGGCTGAAACAAGATTATTAGCGGTTGTAGATGTGAATCTAAAACCGATGCTATTCAGTAACTGAGTTTGCTCCAAGGACGAACGTACACTAGTAGTACTACTCGGTTCAATATCTTTGAAGTCATTGTTGCTGTTAATAATACCAAACTGAGATGACAACTTGAGTTGAGGTGTATGATTTGTCTGCAAAATAGAACCACCACAAATAGATGGTTCTGATTGTTTTCCTCGAGGTGATTTACTGAGTGTATCAAAAGACTTCATTTCCTTATTGGGATGAGCTTTACGATCTTGCTCCGAATTACGAACATCATTCGAAAGAAAAGCTTCTAACTTTACCGAATTAGCAGGACCTCGAACACCAAACCCGAACTCAAAATGACCAGACGGTTGACCAGTTAATTTAGATAAGCTCGGGTTATTTGTAGTTATGTGACTATTTGGTTTTCCTGTAGAGCAACAGCAGCATTTATCCGATTTCTCGTTATTTTGTACCAAACAAGTGGGGCAATCCCACACACTTGTCGAGATATTTGTAGGCCTTAAAGTTTGACAGCATATGCAATTGGTCGCATTTTGTTCATTGAATACCATGCATGTAGGACACTCCCATTGCGAAGCCTCACTGTTGACTGCTAATAAGCTTGATACTGATGTTTCCACTGTATGTACAGACGTTGGGGCAGACGATACATAATATAAATCCTTTGCATGCAGAGGGTTTGATTTTGGAAGGGAACAGCCTTGACATGCAACCCTTGTCTCTGAATTCTCCAACAAACAAGTTTCACAACGCCATGTATTATTTTCTGTGACTGAGAAAAAAGTGAACTATTTTGTAGTAATAATATTATTCACAGTAATTAGTGTTAAAGTTATGATAATTACCGAGCTATTTGGCTGTAACACTTATGGTACCGACTCCTGTTTATGTTGACTGAAAATCAGACGGTACTTTCTATTCAACCTTGGCGGCGAGTCGCAAAAGCAAGGGGGAACATTTACGCTCAGATATCTCAATTGGGTAATCGGTATAGAGTAACTCGGTGAATGCTTAACGAGTGTTAATTAGGACCACTAAAAATAAGAAATCTTATTCACACTTTTATTTTTGAGTTGTTACTATTACAATCCTTAAAAGTTATTTAATGGTTCATATATCTAAAATCTTAACTAGTAATTAACGCATATCCATAATCGACAATGACTGTTTTAATCTAATAAAATCAGTTTCTGAAGTCAATAAAATCCAGATAAGTTAATATAATCCCACTAAATTATATATGGCTTTGCATTTCTGGTTTACCAAATAGTAGCGCTTTATTAATGAAAGTATGAAGTTTAGTAAAAAATGAAAACTCATGAAAACGAAAACCATATGCAAAACACACCTCTACATTTATCATACAGTTCTACAACTTAACTGCAACAAGCGACTTCAGACGATAAAAGTGGCATGACCTATAACCGTTTTCAAAGGTGCCAATGCATTTACTGCCTTCGTTTAGTTCTTCAGTTTTGAAGAACATACATTTTTGTCCCAAAAATTCATTTTTTTTTTAAATCATACTGCCCATATTCGGTGCTTCCTAATAGTTTTGATACTGTTATTACTCAAAATGATCTAGCATTTGTTTTGACAATTTCATCTCATCGTTCTGAAATGGTGGTAAATTGAACTGTACAAAAGGGGCACCGAATACATATGCGCCACACAAGTCACTTGATTTGTGTGTGGGCTGTGATACTGCCCGGGTGCCCAAGCCGGAGCAGGAAATTGAACTGTGTCAGTCAATCATCATATACAGAGAGCCTGAGACAGATATAAGTTGAGCTAGGCTAACATACCACATTAGCACGATAAGACGGAATTAACAAGATGTACAACCAAAAGATCGGAATAATGTAGAACCAATAGTAATTAAAAATACGAAGCATTAAGAATAGGATTTGAAAAGATAGGGTATAAAGGTATATACGAAGAAACATTAAAAGTCAAGATCAAAAGTGGACGTGTTGACGCCGTTATGAACGATTCTATCTATTTACAGATTAGGTTGTGTCAATTGTGATGAGTTGGAGTCTTCCCGTTAGATCTCGACTAATTCTAAGGTGCACGGAATTTACACAAAAGTTTAAAACAATTAGTCTTTTTGCTAAATTTCGATAACGCAATAAGAAGACGAAGTTTATCAGATTTATGTGATATTTGCGCAATACAAAAAGACCTATTAATAAATCCTGTAATGGGAAAATTTACAGTTTGCATTAGCAATAGCAGTACATACTATTTTCAATAATCACCAAAATTGAAATCAAAAATATTAAAATAATTCAAAAAGGCTTTTACGATTACGAAGAGGCGAGTAGCCGAAGCGTTTCACATAATGCTAGGTCCCACTGCCCTGAATATTCATCTAACTTGGACCGTTTATCCAAACAATCACATTTGATCTTATTTATTTCCCATACAATCTATACACAGACAGAAACTCGAACTTAACCCTACTTCATGTTACAAATGTATATATTTTTTATACCATACCCAAGTTCTGAGGCAAAAATTAATACGGTGACATGTTATAAAAATTCACCTTGACCAAGAATAACTTGACAATAACATATTCAGACTTTTTATGATCTTCATCGTACTAAAAATATTCTCCATTGTTCCCTTTATACTACTTAAACTTGTGTCAACTTAACCCGGTTATTTATTTACTCTGAAGTGGCTTACATCAAGTCACGAAATGTCAAAAATACAATTTTTCTACTCACTGGGACATAACAAAAATATTTATTATAAGATTTTAACTGAAGTTTGTTATCTAGTAATATAAATTGTCGATGATTCATTTGAGTGAAAACTAATGAAAATATGAAAATAAAGCGTCTAGTTGTAATACTATCAACGCATACCATCGTATCCACGTCAAATTAATTTTTGCGAAAGTTTACTGGTTTCACAAGAACATCGCTATAGCAAAGTTCTGCCATAAAATTTTATTCAGCTGTAAAGATTGGGACGGAACTACAGTCAAAAAATAATTGGTACAGATTAGGGAGTTTATACACTAATATACTCTAGTAGCATTTTCGCGATTGTTGATAACTAGTTAACAAATGGAAAATTCAGAGGTACTTGGCACAGGATCCACATTCTAAGGGCTGTTATATATGAGCAGAAAAGTTTAAATCTAGAATGGGACTGTGAGAAATATTTTTGGTGGATATTTATTGTATACACAATGAACACTTGGTCTACAGTACAAATGTATTATCCTGATTATAGACATGCATCTATGTTAATGTTTTTTTACCGTTCATGAATCTCATTTCCTTATGTACCTGTAATAATTATGTACAGATTCAATTTCCTATATATGGGGTTATGGTTTAGTAATTGATGTATATATTGTTTCCCAGTCGTATTGAAAAAATGAGTTAGCTTATGGTTTTCATGTCTTGATTAGGGATTGGGTATGGAGAAATTCGCATAGACTGATCAATGTTAGATATCACAGGGTCCACGAATGCTCTAATATCAACGATGAGCTCGCTTTCCCTCTTTACACCCTCACATATGGTTAAGTGTTTTTAACCTCTTTCAAATAAATCCTACTCCCTATCTTCACGCAACTAAAGAATCATTTACGGAAGTGAGAGGATGAGAAGTAGATGTTCAGCACTTATAGAGGGTTGGTTGACAGGGTCTATTTGAGGGAAGAGAATTTTGATTCTTAACAGATGGTGTACATAGACTCTGGGATTTTGAGAGGACGAATACCGTTCTGCTTATTTATTTATTTAAACACGCACACATAAGTACAAGAAAGCATCGAATACATATACGCTGCGATACTTCCCGGGTGCCAAAACCTAAGCAGGTGGTTTTCCAAGTAGGCTACTCCCCGAGCCCTTGACCTGAGAATCTAATCCATAAAGCAGTGCAGCAACATCATGAGATGCAGTTCCATAGTAGCCGGTCACCAACAGCAGGTTCATGCGCCATTTGTTCCCTTAGGATCCTGAAGCAGTTGCCGTTCCAATCAAATAACAAACCAAGCCAGAGTTGGGTCTAGCTTTGAGTGCATCGAAATGTAGATAAGCATCGGTTATTTTCATGAAATGAAAACGGTGTTATGTTGCTTGCGGCTTACAGACAAAAATTTTCCAAGTTTCCTACAACGAAACTGGGGACAGCAAAGAATCAACTTCCTAAAATCAAGCTCAGGTGACCTACTACACATTTTCCGACGATGAACTTACGGTTAGAGAATTTTTTATCGTTCCGAAAGGTTTGAGAGTGTTCAAACATCGTGGGATGAAGTGTCAGTCGTCAACATTCTCAGCAAGTGGCTACGTAATCTATGCAGCAACTTCCAGGTGTCAAGTTTACTACAGATTATGTTCAAAGCATTGGCATCCGACGTTCTTCGAAGATGGCGCTCTACAGTATCAAAATTTAGGAAGACTAAATAAGAAAATAAGTACTGTGCCGGCAAGATGGACATTACCTTTGCTAACGTAAAGCGAACTCATCATTAATTGTTGCATTCAGTGTAGACGTACAGGAGTCAATTCAAAACACACGTAGCTTTCAGTAACTTTACTGCTTGTGGTTTTAATGGTCAGTAAGATACATATGAATATGCGAATTCCCAAAAACATGGATTCGTGGGATACAAAAACTTAAAGATGTAAGGTATAAAAATAAAGTGAGCGCGTTCGCGTTATTGTGACCGATTCCAAGCCATGTCACCTGTCGTCTCAAACCATTAGTCAGTATAACCGCTAAGACTTCAACTAAGAAGCTGGCACCTACCATCATAATTCAGTCCAACTACCAACGTCTTCGTAAACTGATGCCACGTTTTGGTTCGGCCACCACTACCTTTATTCCAGCATACTCCTACACCAGAAAATCATCTATCGAGGTAGGCGGTGATTGAGCATAAATAGCACCCCGACCACCTCAGTTGAAGATTTACTACTTCATCGGGCGATTTCTCATTTCTAACTAGTGCTCTATTCCTAACCCGGGCATTGATCACTGTGGTCCCAAAACACACCAGCAATATTTCGTAAACACCTATGAGCTAATATAAGTAACCTACGTATATCCCCCACTTTTAATGGTCATGTTTCACATCCATTAAGTAGAACGAAGCGAACTGCTGCGCAGTAAACTCGCCCTTTGACTGGAAGATGGATATCTCGCCTACACCACAAGTTACGAAAGTTAACAAAAGCCGATCAAACTTTTTCAATCCGTGCCGAAATTTCATCAGATACAAGGACATCAGCACTGATAAAAATCCCAAGTGAAGCTGTCGACGCGCTCAAATACTTTACACCTTATGATTAATTCAGAGACTGGCACAACATTTTACATTAAAAGCGAGAGAAACTCATCTCAAACATGCTAGTATTGTTGCTAAAGGTTGTTAGAAGACTGCATTTTGTCAACGTTTTCACCGAATAAAACTAAATCATTTAGCTATTCCAAGTTAACAAGGTAACATCCTGGTGCAAGATCAATACCTGAAAAGTCAGACGATGAGACGTTATTTCTGAAAGCAGGTCTATGACAAAGTTAAATAAAAATTGGAAAAGTGGACAATCCCGACGAACACTATTCCAAGTAACTAATTCCGATGACACTTCGCCATAAGCTCTAACTCAACCAGTAATGTTTGAATAAAGAACATGTAGAGTTTGCTTCGCCACGCCTTTTAATGACAAACACTGGGACAGAACCTCAGGACCGAGTCGAACACTTCTTTTATGTATTTATTTATTTGAACACAAATATTGGTACAAAGGGGCACCGAATATATATCCGCCACACAAGTCACTTGATTTGTGTGGGGGCTGTCATACTACCAAGGTGCTCAAACAAAAGCAGGTGGTTTTCTTAAGAGGCCACACCTGGAGCCTTCGACCTAAAGGCCTGACCTACAAGGTAGTAGAGCAACGTCAGGAGATGCAGTCCCATAGTGGCTGATGACCAACAATAGGTTCATACGCCATTTGTTTCCTCAGGATCCTGGAGCCCATATACACCATTAGTTTGGAATTAGTGTTTCCCAACTCCCCCTAGATTGATCCTCCATATCCACCCAGTTAAAGCGCCGGACATTCGCTTTTTGTTCTCTTAATTTCGTAAGCAACATCCCCTCCGCAAGAAGACAGTAAATAGGACGTCCATCGCGCTCAAAGAACATAACTACGGTTGACACATTACTGATTCCTATGACTGTCAAAAGAGGAATCTTGTCTTTTTTTATAAAGTGAGACGACTAGCCATCGAGACTAACCAGATGGAATAACGTGCATTCCCTAGATTTTAGCTAAGATTTCAGCTAATCTAACTGTCAAACTGCACCAGCATTCTTAAAAATCGCATGGGCTAATCCATCAGTCAGCTACAACGTAGGACCAGGCACATATGTGCATCGGTCCAGGTTACCATACCGCATCAGCACAACATGATGAACACCGGATTAATAGCGGTCGAGACCAATCAGACGAAATTACTTCCAGTCCTCAGATTTCGGCAAGCCCGACCACCACGTTAAGATAAAAGCTATGGACGGGAGAAATAAATATTATCGAATACTAGTAATCCAAGAATATTCTACCTCTAAAGTCACGTTACTCAATGCACTTTCACGGGAACTCCACCTTTTTTCTTCGTAAACTCCCAGAATATTTAATGGTAGTGTGAAACTACTTTCTGAACATGAAATCGTTTTGGACTTTGGATAGTTCTTCCAACTAGTCGTCTGTAAACACTCCGGAGTATGCAGACTAGATTCAAAGTAGTACTCAATAGCATGTTGTCACAAATCACGAGTAATCGATGACCAATGTAAGCTATCACCGATTTGTAGCTTTATTCTACTACCACTGTCTAGAAAAGGCTGACCAGCAGATATGGATGAGAAAGTGCATAGAAACTTGAACGGCAAAACAATGTTCCAGATGTTACTTGTGAAACCAGATAACGTCGGCGACTACAAATGATTAACCTGGCATATGCCTAACCTGTTAATAATTAAGTTATGCAGTTATAGTACAATAACAGGGTTAGACAGTAAAATCAATAAAAGATCTTACACTTGATAGTATCAAGATATACTTACTTTTTGATTTGACGGAATCACTTTCAGTAGTGATTTGTTGTATGTTAGATTCCGAACCAATTAGACCTGCCGAGCATTTAGAACACGAACGACTTGGACAGCTGAAAAGATATTCATGATGAGCTATAGGTGACACAGCAGCTTTGCGATCATGCAGAGAAAAGCTGTGAATTGGATCTGCGAATGTGTATACAGGTAGTAATTTGTCTCCTGATTTACAAGTCTCTGAGATTGAACATTCGACAGTGACATGTCTCTGTTTTTGCAATCTCTCAGGAAATACTGTTGGCTTCGATGAAACATGAGGCTGTATATGATTTTGAACTCCGTTTTCACAAAATGAATGCGACTTGCAATCTTTACAGAGAGAATCGACTTTTTCATAACTTTTTAAGAACGGTGGAAACCGATGAGATTTCACACGAGCCTTGACCTTATAAGACAGAAAATTATAACAATGAATGATTTGAAAACTTAAACTTTAGTAACTCAACATACTTAAGAAATTGTACCTAAATATTTCAGTACTTGTTAAGCAGTAAAAATGAGGTATTTGAAAAAATGTATGTCTTTTGCTCATGATCAAGCATCGATGCCCCCAGACAGCTGAAGAAAGTTATGGCCACTAATCCTGTTCAGAGAATGTCAGTCAGCTAGCTACAACATAGGACCAGGCACATATGTGCATCGGTCCAAGTTTCCACACCTTATTAGCACAGCAAGATGAACACCAAATTCACAGAAGCAATTAACTCAATGGCGTAATATATAGAGGAAAGATTGCATATAAGGATATATTACAGGAACAAATTAAAAATAATTAGCTTTTCGTCTACATATGATTCGCGCTTACTTCCGTTTTTTAATCAGAATGTTGTAATTGTGCGCTTACGAAGACCGATCAAACATAGAGCTCACGTAAGCAGGATCGAAAACCTATGTATCACAATCCTTAGAAATGATGAGGAAGAAAGTTTAATACCTAAACACTAGATTTTGTGACTTGAGAAACCAAGAGAAAGTTTTGCAGTTTAGTTTCCGAACTATGTGGAATATTATTTTGTGTTAATGGGAGTAGACATCTTCAACCGCACTCAAAGTACTGATAAACTAAATCTAAACATATGTAAATAAACTACAAATTCAGACGAAACTGGACTTAAAGAAATACATACCTGTTTCACATGTCTTTGTACAGAAGACTGTAAATAACCTGAAGTGAGTGGAGCCGAAAGATTTTCTAACGTCTCGAGAATTCTCCGAGCAGTAGAACTCAAATTAGCGCTTGGGGCACTTCCAAGTTGAGAATTTCGATCTGAATATAGGTCAAATTTCAACGGCGTAGTGAACTAAAATTTAAAAAAATAGTTCCATGTATATGCAGTAACACGAACCCGACCATAAGGTTAGGATCCAATTGGAGGCAAAGCAATAGAATTTAAACTAGAGTTGATTTTTGCAGATAACCGGTTAATTGAAAACGGTCATAGAAACGTTTTGTTTTATTAGTAATTCGCAATACTAGTAATTATGAAAGATTGGTTTCAATGAGCGTCATCGGCGTTAAAATGGGCGTGTCACTTATCAATAATAGAATGAAATATGATTTAGTGGTAGCTACCCACGTAACCGGACTTCTGGCTTAGAATACCTGGTAAACTAATATTGTAGTGAAGCACCGACGACAATATATCAGTATGACTAATTATGTCCTCATATATTATCAAGATTAACATGATTCGATGTCACAAACCATATAAGAATATTAGAACTTGTAGAACACGCGCCTGGCACGGAATCGAGAACAAGACGCTGGGCTTGGTTTATGCACATGAAACCACACACCAAACCAGACGTTATTCAATCAGTCGTAATCAACATGTAACCCAGCACGTGTGCAACAACTGACAGTGCTACACATAGACACGAGATGATCTCCATCAATGCTAAAGTCGTAGTCATATCGTTAATCGTAGGGAACACTACAGGTCACCCACTCTTCCAACGTACTATAGTTTAACGACAATAATTCAACTGTAACTACAAGTAAACTTACTTCGAACAACTCCCGAGCATTACGACAACTGGCAGCTCCCCCGTATGTAGTTCCTAAACGAGAACGCCAAGTAGATGAAGGACTAAGGTTCAGCGTTGTGGACAAGCGCTGGCGTTTTGGTAAGGGATAAGGATATGTTTTGAAGTCACTCCGGGAGGTCTGGCACGAAGGTGATTGTTTACAACAGGTTGTTTTTAATGGGTTGCACACTACTGTGTTCGTATAGCTATCTGAGCACAATTCCATACGTTGAGCCGTAGATCTACTTTGGCCGTTTTTGCATCCCAATACCCACGACTTAGGCATTAACGATGAAACTCCACTCGTAGAAAAGGAGTGGAGGCTGCATTCACTTTCTGATTTATCTGTGGCATCAAGGTCAACATTCGTATATCTCAAGCTGTGTTCCTTATAGCCCCATGCTTTATCCTTGGGTCCTGGTTCACTACAATGATCAAGAACATCATTGGTCCTTTTGAGGTTAGCTCTCAAATCTCCTTTAAGTGGGTCAACCGATTTCGCAGGAGAAACCTGGATAGTGGTAATGGGAAATCCGATACTTACATTAATTGCCGGTAAAATCGACGATGGAACAAACCCTGTAATTGAATCAGCAATTCTGTGAAATAAAGACTGCAATGATAGTTTTAGAATGAAGGTAGGAAGAAGATGAACATACCCTTCTGTGGATTTCCGAAACCATATCCTATGATCTCAGTCGGCCCACTGCCAGCTCACGCAGCTAAACAAAATAAGCCTCAATTGTCAACGATATGTTCATTGTCAATTGAATAAGCATAAACATCCGAAAAGTTTAAATTATATCCTTGAAATAAAGGCCCTCCTTTTACTGCTTTGTGGCGCTTCCTATGTCATGATGGCTCTACGTTCTCCATGAGCCATCCATCTGATGATCTCAGTTTCAGTTTGAAAAGGACAGGAGGATTGATGGCCTGTGTTAGTCCTGGCAATGATGGTCTCTTAGTTGATCCGACTTTCTTTTGAAAGAGTTGACGAGTGGAGCTTCAACCAAGTGTTGGGGTAATGAATCTCACTCGTTAATGATTCTATGGGAAAGTCGATAGTCAGCTGACAAGTAATTTGTTTCGGGCTTGGAAACTCGTAAGTTCTCTGTTTTGGAAGACTAGAAGAATGAGAGCATATCACGTGAAAATTCATCAGTAAGCAATTTGAAAACTGTACTTAAGTCTCCTCTAGTTCCTCGATATGACAACGGGAATAGGTTTGTCTTGGCCAGTCGAGCATCATACGGTAGGTTTGCTATTCCGGGAATCAGCTTAGTTGCTGTTCTCTGAACCTTCACCAAAACCTCAATGTCTTTTTCTAAGCAGGAGCTAGCCGCTTGTATGCAGTGCTTAAGTTTAGGACGCACGAACACTGTATTCAAAGTCAAAAATGTTTTAGCGCCGACATGACTAAAGGCCCCACGTATTGACCATAACGTTCTGAAACATTTGGCGGCTATTGTACGGCAGTGTGCAGTAGTCTCTAAGTCTTGGCTAACGATGACTCCTAAGTCACTGTGTATCTGGACAACAAGTAGCTCTGTGTCTTTCATCGTGCATGTACCTGTATCTTGATGACCGATATGCATCACAACACACTTGGAAGTATTTATCGGCAACTGCCAGGTTTGAGACCATTCAGATGAATTCTCCAGGTCATTCTGGAGTTCTAATCTATCACCCTCACATCGTATCGTTCTCAACATCTTGACATCGTCAGCATACAGCAAGACCAATGATGATAGGAGACGCAGAAGAGCATTTACATACAAGAGGAATAGCACTGGCCCCAAAACTGTACCCTGGGGCACTCCACTAAGCACAGTTCCCCAGCTAGATAAATTTGAGTTCACCCGAACTCTTTGTTGACGCCGAACTAAGAAGTCTTTTATCCACACAAATAGATTGCTTCCAATCCCGACATTTATTAACTTATATAACAGCCGGTTGTGCGGAACCTTGTCAAAAGCTTTGCTGAAATCAATGAAGGCTACGTCTACAGGTAACTTTTGGTCCTTAAGAGCGCACCAGCTTTCACGAGCCACTAATAAGTTAGTGAGACAAGAGTAACCTATTCTGAAACCGTGCTGCTTCTCCGAAAGGATCCGGTTTTTATCGAGATAATTAAACAGCTCCTTCCGAATAATCTTTTCTATGATTTTAACAGCCACACTAGTTAGGCTAACGGGGCGGTAATTCTCAGGTTTGTGTTTCGTACCTGTTTTGGAGACAGGACTTACTATGGCGTTTTTTTCAGTCTTTGGGTAAACGACCCTGTGTTACGGATAGGTTAAAGCATATACTTAAAGGGTTCGCAACGAAGTTAGCTAATTCCCTTGGTAACCTAGGATGCAGTTCATCGGGTCCCGTGGATTCGCCTGGCTTATTTAGCAGACCAAAGACATAGAGTTCCACGCTGTCCGGTGTTTGTGTGGAGGGATTTGTATGAACTGATGGGAGGGGTGTCTCTATGGTATATACATGGCCAGAGTTGTTTGAGAGTACTTGAGCTTTACCAAAGTCGTCCTCCACTAATAATGTAGCAGTACTGTCTCCCCATAGTGCTGGAATATTTCCTCTTCTTCTTGTCCTTTGGTTTACACACGAATACAGGCGTTCAGAACATTCTATGGATTCCTTGACAATTTTCTCTTCGTACAAGCTTCTAGACTTACAAAGAGTAGGGGTACTGGTATTCCGAGCTTTTCGATACTGAGATTTTGTCTCATCAGTCCCTAGTAACCTAAATCTATCCTACATTTTTCTTCTCTTACGGAGAAGTATGCGAACTTCCCTACTGAACCATGGTGGGGAGTTTCTCGGCCCCATTGGTGTGGTCCAAAAGATGTAGGGTGTGGTAACTTTTAAGTATAAATATTGAAGGACGTCCCGAGCCGTTTCATTTGAGGACTCTGGCTCTATTGTCCAATCCACTGACGATGCTGAATGTACCATACCTCGTATATTTGATTTCCAGGCGTTAGGTCTGAATTGAGCTGATGCGTGCTCGTCTTTGACAATTATAAATAAATTATCAATAAAGGCCGAAGAAGGCGAATTTTAGCTGGCCCCAAAGAAAACTGGCATGGATGAGCTATGTTTTCTGCATAATTCCATATATTTTTGTTTTTTGGTAAACATACAACACATAGTTTGGTAATTCTTTAGAAAGAAATACGAGAAACAAACTAGTTTTTTGAAGATTTTTGCTTCACGTGCTTCAACATTGAAATTTAGTGACATTAGCACAAGAGATGTCAGTTTTGAGTTCATATCCTTTGTTATATCTTTTGAAGTGTCTAATAAATGAATAATCTGATTTATCTTAGTTTTACATCGTCACATGCTCTCAGTACTTGCTGTTTTGGGCCATTAGAATAATGGTGTCCTACTTTTATATAGATCTGTTGGCATATATAAGAATTGCTATCTTTAGGAGTTGATCGAAGCGCTGTAAATTCACTACCACCACACAACGGATATTTATGTCACTATATTGATAGCATGAAATACTGCTACCAAAGACGCAAGTTATGGGTGTATTTATTTGCTTACAATGGACATTTGTAGCTGCAAATAAATCCTCACACAGTTTTTGGCACACCAACTATCTCCCAAATATGTCCTTAGGCTTCCTTCTTCCTGACTTCCGGTCCTCAACTATGTTACGAGCATGAGTGTTTTCAATCCCTGAATGTTCATGAAACCTATATATGCTTCGTCTTTTGAAAATGTTACTTGATAAAAGTTTTAGCAACGATAATACTGCTACAAAAAAGAGTAATGGCTCGGTCAAGATCACTGAACGGCGACAAAGCTAGGCACGATTATAAATGCAGACGACTGAGACTGAAACTTCGAATATCACTGAATAGAAAAAACAAACTTATTGTTCCGTAGAATATTCACCTGGGTAGTAATGTCCTTAATTTAAAGGAGATATAATTCTTGTTCTATTCTACCGGAACCAAGAGGACGGAAATGGTGATCAGTGATGAAAGTGGTAAACCTAAGGTAACACCTTAACCACTCTCCTCTGAAACTCTTTAGTTACGAGACCTTTATGACTTCATGAAGCTTGACATATAGACTGAGAGCCAGGAGCAGATTTCTGTCTTTATCTAGCAGTCTTATATGCTTATGAAATTTCTAAATCTATCACTTGAAAGGAGGTATAGATCATAGTGTACAGAAACACTCAGCTTCCTGAACCGTAATCTATGCGACCTTATTTCCTCTCTAGCAAAGAATAGCGATGCATATGGCCGAAAATCAGTAACTAAAAAGACCTGTTACTGATTTTTTACAAATAACTATGATTGCAAAATATACAGCACACCTGGGCAGTTTTAGAAAAGTCGATCAATACTTCTGGAATTGGATAGAATGGAACTGTAAAAAAACAATTACAAAAATGCTAGGAAATACTTAGCTAATTACTTGTCAGAGAAGGACTATATTTCTGCCGATCAGAGAAAATGTATCTACGTTACTGGAAAGATCAATTTAATCCATTCAAAACTGAATAGTCAAACTGTAACCAAAGAGCTGAGTATCGCAAGGACTAACTGCTTATCAAACTTAGTGGACGAACTAGAAATTCACTTCATTTCAGAAAAAACCCATTCATTTCAATTAGTTTTAGCAAGTCCAACTGAAAGTCTGTGGACCAACATGACAGCCTCCATAATCAAATATCAAGTGAAACAAAATCTGCATCTTCCAGTGACTATCAAAATGAGAAATAATACAATGGGAGACGCATAACTGTAAGTTAGCCTCAGCACTACCTTTACCTGAATTAAAGATTGAGTATGATGTGCAAAACAACGATGCATTATAATGAAAACTTAGTAATAACGAAGAAAAAATGCCGTTGTCCTAGAACGTGCATATTGGAGGAATGTTTTAACTCTCATGCAAACCCGCACACTTATGTATTTAGGATTTAACATTTGTTTTAGTAGCTATGCTGTTGTATTGTATTCAGATAAATTATGGAACTGACAACAAAAGTGTAGGACTGTGATACAGAATAGAACAAATGAGAAGGGTTGGAAGAATGAAATCATGGGGGGTTGATGATGAATCCTAAATCAAGTAAAGGCACGTTGTTTGGACATAATAAAACAGTTTTCATTATCATGTTGACCTTTTACTATACGAAAGAACGTAACATCAAGCTTTCCTTTATTAGGTTTCTCTCCAGGGCTCCTGTCAAGGTAGTCCATGAGTTGTTCAGTAACGCCTTTAGTATAAACTTGACGTTATTGAAAACATAGATTTTTATCTGTGATATCGATGCAGACGTTTTTAGTTTTAGCAGATAAAAATATGTTCTGATGGAATCGGTATTTTTCAATGAGGTTGGCGTGAGTCAGAAGTGTTTCTCTTGAAGTGAAAGAATGTATTTGTCAAATCTCGCCGAATATATTTGAGGTAAATCCAACGCTTCGTCCGGCAATCTGGTCCAAGCTTTTTCAAGGAATTATAATCAAGCATCAAAATAATCGAATATAGATAGGTACATGGTTCTCCGGTTAACTGTATACTGAATAGGTCATCCGATCAACGTTAACTATGTTTAATGTAACGAAAAGTGTTAAGATAACATATCGTGTATTGAACCTCGTTCAAACTATGTTAATAATGCAGTCTGGTTGGTCGAGAAGTTGTT